AAGGCTAATTGCCTGCATTCAGACTCTTTGTTTCCTCCCTTTCCCGTTTAACGGAAGCAGCCAAGGTTATTTTTCTGGGCTCCTTTCCCTTATCCTGGACCATGTTTTTATCATTAGAAAATGGAAGGAGCCAGTTAGTAGGCAAATAATGAATTCGGCTCTCTAACAAATCACTAAAATGCGCTTTTTTTTTTTTTTTTTGCTAATGGAATTTCCTGCCTTGATGAGTATGAAGCCTGGGAAGCGAGGGTGCGTGTAAGCGATGCTGATTGAAGACTTTACAGAGAATGGCATGACATTTGTATGGCAACACAGTGATACATAGCGGGAAGGGAAATTGATCGGAGCTCTGACTTAAGAAATCTTAGTCAATTAATCATCTCAGTTGTAATGGGGAGTCGGCCGCTTTATTAAATCTGCACGCAACACTAGTGTGGATGACAAATGCACTTCCATTTCTTTTGAGCTGATTCATGCCACTGTTACAGCAAGCACCCTCTCAGAAGAAGTATCCTCTCCTGGTGTGAGACAAGAGAAGAAGAAGAAGAAGAGGAAGAAGAGGAGGAGATGGAGATTGGATTTATACCCTGCCCTTCACTCGAGTCTCAGAGCATCTTACAATCTCCTTTCCCTTCCCCTCCCCACCACAGACACCCTGTGAGCAGTGTTCCCTCTAAGATGAGTTAGTGTGAGCTAGCTCACAGTTTTTTAGCCTCTGGCTCACTTAGCTCAGGAAGGAGGGCTCCAGAGCAAACTAATTTATGCAGCAGCCAAATCACTCGCTCAGAAATTTAATGCCAGTCGCTCACAAAGTAGAATTTTTGCTCACAAGACTCCACAGCTTAGAGGGCACATTGCCTGTGAGGTAGGCGGGGCTGAGAGAACTCTTTCGAGAAATGATCGTGAGAGAACAGCTCTCAGAGAACTTGTAACTGACCCAAGGTCACAACCAGCAGCTGCATGTGGAGGAGTGGGGAATCAAACCCGGTTCCCCCAGATTAGAGTCCACACACTTAACCACTACACCAAACTGGCTCTCAAGGGGAATAGGCGTTAGCCAGTGAGGGACTGTGGAACCTCTGGGAAGCAGGAGAAGAGGTAGGTTGAAGGAAAGTCTGTCATTATCTCAGACAGGACTTGAAGAAGCAAAGGGATAAACTACTAGAAGAACAAAGTTTGCATCCACTGGAATATTTAAGACCAACAAAGTTTAATTCTGGGCATAAGCTTATAGCCAGAATTAAACTTTGTTGGTCTTAAAGCTGCCACTGGATGCAAACTGTGTTCTATTGCTTCAGACCAACACAGCTACCCACCTAAATATACCAGGAGAAGAGCTAGGTCACTGAAGAAGTGAGCAGTGACTCACGAAAGCTCATCCCCTGCCACAAATTTAATTAGTCTTTAAGGTACTACTGGACTCTTGTGTCTCTTTCTTCCAGGCCCAGGGAAATGCCGATCGCCACTTTGGGGTCAGGAAGCAATTTTTCTCCAGGCCAGTTTGGCTGAAGATCCCGGAGGTTTTTTTGTCATCTTCTGGGCATGGAACAGGGGTCACTGGGGTGTGTGGAGGGCGAGGTATTTGTGAACTCCCTGCATTGTGTAGGGCGTTGGACGACGTAACCCTGGAGGTTCCTTCCAACTCTATGATTCTATGACTCTTGCTCTTTTCTCCTATTTTCAATAGGCTGAGATTCTTCGGTTTAAGACAGAGTTACAAATGAAATTAAGCTTTTCTGACAGAAACACCTCGTCAGTTCAGTAAAGCTGTGTGTGTGTGTGTGTGTGTGTGTGAAACTGCAACTATTTTAAATCAGAGTTCTGCTGTCCTTTGCTGTACTAATAACTTGTTACATTCCTTGTCTTACCCATGAAAAGACTAAGCACCGAGCCCTTCTAAAGAAGACACAATAAACGTATTATTTTTATTTTGCAAAAGAAAGGTGTTGGTGGAAGTCACTCCGGGAGGAGGAGAGAGAGGAAGTAGTAGAAAATACCTCAGATTTCTATTCTACGTCCCCAGGCTTCCTCAGTAACAGTAACATGTCGGGTTGCCAGCTCTGGGTTGGGATATTCCTGGAGAATTGGGGGTGGAGCCCGGGAAGAGTGGAATTTGGGGAAGGGGGGTAGCCAGGCCCATAGCTACCACGGGGCCCGTGGGGCTTGGCCCCCTGGCGGGTTTTATGGACCCCACTCCCTGAGCCTCGGGTCCCCCTCCCCCCCGGCCCCCTCCCCCGATTGCCTGTCAACCTGTCCAAGGGGAGGAGAAGGGCAGTGATTCCAGAGGCAGCGGCACAAGTAGCGGCGGCGGCAAGGCGAGGCTGAGAGAGCCACCCAGGCGGCAAGCATGAATGGTAAAGCCCAGGCAAGGCAAGGAGTCAGGCAGGCACCTCCTCTGACCCAGCTGTGCTCCAGCGGGCTGAGCCCGCACACGGCACCTCCGTGGCCAGCCCAGCCACCCCGCGCCTCACCTCTCCCACCCCTGGGAGGGAGCCAAGGGTGGAAGTCAGGTTGCCCCTGGCACCGCACCATGGGAAGGGGTGGTGGAGCTTCTCAGGGAGGGAGGGAGCCGGATGCTCCAGGGAAGGCCTGCCCTTGGGGGGGGGAGAGGGAAGCTGCAGCCACAGGGCATAACCCCCCCTTGCCGTGGAGCCTTTGATTTAGTTAGCCGGTGGGCCCCCTCAAGGTCCCCTCCCCCCAAAATCTCTAGCTTCGGGGCTGGAGGTAGCACAGAAGGGATATGATGTCACTCTAGGACTTCAATTTCTCGTAGACTATGGTATAGCACAGAGAGTCTGCCCTCCAAACCTGCCATTTCCTTCAGGGGAACTGATCTTTCTTCTTTCATTCTTTCTTTCTTTCTCTATCTATCCTTGTATTTATATCCCGCCCTACCCCGAAGGCTCAGGGCGGCTGACAAGGGTACAATGTGCCAAGATTATAACAATAAAAACGCAAGTATAAAACAGTAAAATACAATAACAAATTCACAATACAAATTTAAACACAGATGGGTAGATCTTAAACCCAACGGTAGCTTCCTGAAATCTATCATCCACTTCATGCCAGGTGTGTGGAAGATCTTTACAATTCTGGAAGGTCTCCAGGCTGGCAACCTCGTAGCACATGTTCTAGCACAGTTAATTGTTAAAATTGCCTTACTGACCACTCGCAAACCCGTGACATAAACAAAAGCAAATTGGCCACTGTTACTGGAAGGTATGACGTGGGAGGTGGGGAGCTGAGAAAGCACCTGGCTGTCACGTGGAACCACTTCAGAGTTCAGACTGCAGGCAGAAGATCACATTTTCAGACACTCCCCTATATTAAAAGCTCTCTGCAAACAGATAGCCAAGCAAGCCCAGAGAGGGGGTTAGAACTTTTCCTCCTGCTATACTGCATGAAGTATATTTATATGAATGAACATTCACCGCAGGAAGCTGCTCTCTCTCTGCAGTCTGAGGTGGTGTAACCCATTCTACCAACTCAGCATTCTACCACCCCCTTCTCCTGTGTACCCAAACCAGGCCTAAGCCCTTCACTTACTCTGTTTGCTGTTCCTCTCCAGACAAACAGAAACCCAGAGAATAGAGATTTCCACATGGCTCTTGGCCAGAGTTGGAAATATAAAGATGGAAATGAGGCGAGAACTGCACAATAAAGTTTTATGAAGGCAATTCAGGTGTCGGTTCTATAGTGCCTTTCAAGTATCTGGCATGTCTGAGTCCCATAAGCCAGGCATAACCTGAGCCAAGCCTGCAACAACTTGTGACTTGCCGAGCTGAGCAAATTCACCAGCCACCGATTATGGTCAGCAGGGTTTCAACCTCCAGGTGGGGCCTGGAGATCTCCCAAAATGACAGGTCACTCACCTCCAGACTACAGAGATCAAGTCCCCTGGAGAAAACGGCTGATTTGGATTGTAGCCTCTGTGGCACTGTACTCCACTGAGGTTCCTCCACAATAATGGAAAGTAGGCTGTCGCCAGCGGGACTTGCATGGGGGTTTCCCTGTGGCATCTGACTGGCCACCGCAGGAAACAGGATACTGGACTAGATGGACCATTGATCTGACCAGTACGGTTACTTGATAGTGTCTGGCAACTGTCAAGAGGCCTGTGAGTGGGGATATGGGAGGGGGCTGCAATGCCAGCTGTGGCGTCACGTCACTCAGGGTAAAAAAATGGAAGAGACAATGGTAGCTCTAGGAATCACCAGAATCGCTATGGTTTTTATCATAGAACTTCTGTCAATTCCTAGAACTACCCTCTGTTGCTTCAATTTTTGTTTTACTGGAAGTGGCATGATGCCACAGCTGCCATTGTAAGGGTTTTTAAAAGTTTTCTCTGTTGGGAGTGGGGGGCAGGGTATCCCCCATCCTGATCAGGGACTTGGTGGCATGAGGCGATTCTGCATCTAGCATTCGCCCCACATTTTCTCAACTGGGAGGGGAAAGTGGAGCTAAAAACCACATTCAAATACCTCCAGGAAGGCCATACTGACTGCAAAGTCACCCATAAAACGGCCATAAATCTATGCAGAAGGTACCATAAAATCTGATGATCAAAGGAAGCAAAAGCAGCATGCAGTGTGAGGCTACCATAAAATCTGATGAGGGAAGGAAGTGAAAGCAGCCTGCAATGCAGAGGGGAATTTCTGTTCCAGTGTGGGTTTCGTAAAACAATGAAGGGAAAAGCCAATGCAGAATCAGCCATGGTTACTCTTGTGTACTCTTTTTGCTTGTTTTGTTTATCCATAGCATAGAAAGGTGAGTTTTCTGGTCAAGGAATCTGAACATATTATTAGATCTTTGCTACATGGGTGCACTCGATCAATGCTCTCCATCAACACAAGTGAAGATCCTGATTTTATAGCATCCTGCAGTTTTTTATTTCATCTTTGCAACGACCGAGTCTTCCTAATCAGAACCGGGGCCTTGTTACTCACCCCCTTCCGAAGGACACGGCCCAACTTAATAAGCTTGATGTCTGTTATGTGGCTCTGAAGATGAAAGGGGCTATATAAAGTGCTAGGCGTCATTATGCAGTTGACACTCTGGTTTCATCCGGTGACGGGCTGAACCCCGAGCGACTTTCTGGGGGCCGAGGAAGACCAGAGAAGCGCTGATCTCTCGGCAGGATGCGGCGAAGCGCCTGTCAGTATGAATTAAACAGAGACAAAGAAGAATAAGTGACACTTTAAAAATGGATGATGCAATTTTTTTATTGGCTTTTTCTGGCCCTTCTGAAGAGCGTTTAAATATCTAGAATTAAAGTTTCAAAGCCTAATTTTAAGGCTGAGTGGTTTATAGTTGCATCCTTTGATTCCTGGTCTGGAGGATAGAAGAACTGCTTCCTCGTGGGATTAGGTCACCTGAAAAAAGTCATGGGATTTTTTTGAGTCTCCCAGGAACAATTCAGTGTCCTTTCCCAGCATGCAACACTTTCCATGGGTTGCCTTCTGGAGAAAATGACAAGTTCTGCTGGTGGAAGGGACAGATGGGAGCAAACCTGAGTCCTGCTCTACAGATTTCTAGAGAAAGAGATGTCAGAGCCAGCACCCTCTGACTGGGAAGTGCTTGATGTTGGAAAATTTGATCTTTGTTCGCTGGAGAGAAGGCATTTTCTTTCTATGTAAAAATCTTTATTTCTAAAAGGAAGGGTACACAGGAAATCTACAAAACAAGAAACACTTTAAGACTACATGCTTGCAACAAGAGAAACGCTAGTCGGTAATGGAGATTCTTCCCATTCTTCTTGATCCCTAAAAGGAAATCACCTGAATACATTTAACTAATGATTGTGAGTAAGTAGGCTTCAGTTTCCTGGGCTTTCTCCCCATTGACTTTGATCCAGGTTCCCTTCCAGGTCAGACTAAACAATAGCACACAAGGTAAACACATTAACCCTATAATGACTGAATTTAGACCTTGCAACACACATATTTCCAGCACTTGATTCTAGACATGTGCAGTTAGAGATTTATTAATGTAGTAAACAACTCACATTGGTGGTGGAAAGTGCAACTGGCTTATGGCGATCCCCCCATAGGGTATGCAAGGCAAGAGATATTCCTTGGTGGTCTCCCATTCAAGTACTAACCAGGTGGAGCCTGGAAATCTCCTAGAATTACAACTGATCTTTCCAGGGCTTGTTTCACTGGGGCAAGGGTTCCACCCTTGGAGTTGCGGGCAATTAGAAGCTAAGCCTCTTCCTCAGGATTTGCTCATGAGCCTTAAACTTACTGAAACACTTTGAGAGGATTGCTTTTTAGGCCCAGGCCAAAGTGCAACCAAAATGTTGGCGTGGCTACTATAACAACATTCCTGTTACACTTCACTCCAGCCACAGAGGAGGATTTTCTCGGCTGTGGCGCTCGCTTCCTCTGCGGCTAGGTCTTCTGCATGCAAAACGGTTCCTTGAAAAACACTGATCTTGCACATGTGGTACAACTGGAAGCAACGAAGCACAAGAGGAACGGTGTCACAGGTCCATGCCTGGGTAGTGTCCAGGGGTCATTTCCAGTGGGAGCGCACAGGAGCAGAGCTCTGGCAGTAAGGAGCCCAGGGGGCAGGCACATGCAACAAGACTCACCCCCTGCTCCCAGCAGCCCTCAGTTGGGCCACGAGGAGCAAGAAGCAGCCAGGTAAGTTACAGAGCCCCCCAGGCCTGCCTTCAGGTACAAGCTCTTCCTCCTCTGTGAGGGCAGATCTGCACATTCCCTCCCCCCATAGCTAGCAATCAAAAACAGTCCAGTGGCACCTTTAAGGCCAAGGTTTATTCAGGTAGAAGTTCTCCCTCCTCTGCTAGGGCAGATCTGCGCCCCCCCCCCATAGCTAGCAATCTAAAAGAGTCCAGTGGAGCCTGAGCGGTGGGTGTTGCCTTCTGACACACTTCCGGTGATGTCAGGGGGTGTGGCATATGCAAATAAGTTATGCTAATGAGCTCCTGCACCTCTTTTTCTATGAAATGACCCCTAGTAGTGTCAACTACGACTGGAAGTCATAAGGCCGAACCAAACAAAACACAAACCCAGTTCACAACCTGGTGGAAGGAGGTTCAAACACAGCCATTGTGGTGACAGTCTTAAGGCTTATTCCCTCAGCCAACGCTATTATGGATGCCGTGCATTCGACTTTTAGTGCCTGAATGTGATGTGTTCAGAACTGAGTAATCCATACCGTCTATTGTCTTGACCAGAGTTCAGAACAACCTCCTCCTTGTAATACTTTCATAACTAATTTGTTGCCTTTTCTCCAATATGGCTGCATCAGGGCTCTTTTTGTAGCAGGAACTTCTTTGCATATTAGGCGACACCAGGGCTCTTTTTGTAGAAAAAGCCCAGCAGGAACTCATTGGCATAATAGGCCACACCCAACAGCAGGAACCCATTAACATATTAGGCCACACCCCTGACAGCACAGCTCATTAGCACATTAGGCCACACCCCCATGTTACCTGAAGTGTGGTTATCCAGCCACAACCACCTTTTGCTTGTTATTCTGTTTACTTTGTTTGTTGTCAAAACCCAGGGCTTTTTTGTAACAGGAACTCCTTTGCATGTTAGGCCACACACCCCTAATGTAGCCAATCCTAATGAGTTTCTGCTGTTGGGTGTGGCCTATTATGCTAATGAGTTCCTGCTGGGCGTGGCCAACATGGGAGCCAGCCGGAACTCCGTTCCTGTGTGTTCCTGCCCCAAAATTGCCCTGGGCGACACACCCTTAATGTAGCCAATCCTCCAAGAGCTTACAGTAGCCCCTGTAAGAAGAGCTCTGTAAGCTCTTGGAGGATTGGCTACATTAGGGGTGTGTTGCCTAATATACAAAGGAGTTCCTGCTTAAATGATATAGCTGGGAAATGCAGGTATTTGGGACTTTTAGAAAAACGAGTAAAGCTTTCTAGCCTTTAGAGATGGAGTTCGCAGTCACAGTCATGGTAGGAGGAATTACCAGAAACTATGCACAAAAGCTATGCACAAAGGCCAAGGAAGAAACAATGGGGGGGATCAATAGCCCTCTCTCCTACTATGGCTGACAGTACGTGGATGGGGGGGGGGAGACTTAGAGTTAAGACCTTTGTGGGTGCTCAGAACGAATGTAGCCATCAGCACCTCCGATCTTCCACTGGCGTTTGCATGTGTTCTCAGTCTGCTTTTTGTGCTCGATTGTATGCTGCAAGAAATGTGCAAATGGGCCTAAACTGCTTTTGAGGAAATAAAATCTCTTTTGCGTGCTTGTATGGAACTATTTACGTAGCTTAAAACAACCACAAATGCAATACTGACAAACCCCAACACACCCACACCCAGCCACCCACCCCAATATGGCTTTTGAGTTGGTTGGAAGTCAACAGCTGGTTCATCCACAGGTGCCGCCTGCAATCCCCAGGCGAAGGGCCAACAGCCCTTTGGTTCTCGCCCTTTGGCTAGTGCATCTGGCCACACCCAAGCATCGCAGTACCTGCAGGAAGAGGCAGGCAAGCTTAGCTCAGGTGGACCTCAGCAAGACCTTCTTCCTTTCTCCTCCCCACCACCAGCTTTATACCCTTAATATGACAACCTCATTTAAAAAAAAACAAATTAGGAAGGGGAGGAGCTGTCAGCACAGGCAGTCTGACCCAAAGGTCCACTTGGGGATCTTCCAAGGGCAAAGAACCCTTACAGAACTGATGAATGTGTATCCTGTCAGAACCTGTGCCAGTTTTTTCTCTAGCCACCAATCTTCATCTGCCCTCCTTGTTGTCCATAGCTATAAAAACCCCACAGCTCTATAACAACTGGTGAGCTAAACAGGTTTGGGGGAATCCCTTCTCTTAATAAAACACCCCCTTAATTAACTTACATTACTCCGGTGAATCAGCGGCCCCCTCCCCGAAGAGCTTCAAATTCCACAGCCAGCTAGAGTAGGAGGCTCGGTAACTTTGTTGTTTTCCTGTGCGCTCCCTGGGCACTCAGCAAGTAAAAAGTAGGGTTTAAAAAAAAAAGCACATTTGGGGCTTTCAGAAGCCCAGTTAGTTTGCCATGGAACTGACACACAACCTAGCCTCAGACCAGGGACCCCCAAAGTGGCGCTCACCGACACCTTCCTTGGCATCCATCAAGTGTTTTTAGAAACTGGGTGGGGCCAGGTGAAGCTCTCTTGCCCAGCTGGGCGTCTCATTTGCCACTGAAGACCTGATTGGCTATGCAGATCAAAATAACATTGTTTCCCTGGCGGCTGCCACTACACGGTTTGCTTTATTCTCTCTTCCCTGTGTATTTGTAAATTACCCTTCTTCTCCCCTCCAGTTGGGTTTTGTAATGTATCCAGTCCAGACAAGTCCAGACAAGTCCAGAGACAAACGTCGAGCTTCTCTCCAAGAGATAATAGACTATGCGGATCCTAGCCCGCTCCAATCAGGGGGCTAGGTTCCCGGCCGAGAGCCTATGGGACTCTCGGCCACTGTAAATAACATATAGGGAAGTAGGGGTGTGTTTTGGGTGGTGGTTTCTTGGGGGATATAAGCCGGCCTGCGAGCCGGCCAAGGTCGTCTTGTTCCGGATAGAATAAAGTACGCTTTGCTGAAATCACTCTCCGTTTGCGTACTTTTCAGATTTCATCTGCGTGTGTAGCTCCACCTCCTATGGCGGTCATTTTGGGATTGGCTCCACCTCCTGCGGCAGCCATTTTGTCATTGCGCCCACCACTCTGTGGTGGAATTCCAAAGGTGCCTACAAACACCTTATTAATAACACTATTAATGTTATTTTTATTCTTAATATAGTACCATGCATTGACTTGGAAAGCCCCATCTCGTCAGATCTTGGAAGTTAAGCAAGGTCAGCCCTGGCTAGTATTCGGATGGGAGACCACCAAGGAATACCAGGGTCGTGGTGCAGAGGCAGGCAAGGGCAAACCACCTCTGAACGTCTCTTGCCTTGAAAACCCTATGGGGTTGCCATAGGTTGGCTCCAACTTTATGGCACTTTCCACCACCATAGTATCATACAGTGTTCCCTCTAAGCTGAGTTAGTGTGAGCTAGCTCAGTTCTTTAGCCTCCAGGTCACACATTTTTGTCTTAGCTCAGGAAGGATGGCTCCAGAGCAAACTAATTTATACAGTCGCCAAAGCGCTTGCTCACAACTTTAATGCTAGTAGCTCACAAAGCAGAA